AATAATAAAATAAATATTTAAAAAAAAACCCCAAACAAACAATGTTTTCTTACCATGGCAGGAGCCATCCACTTCTTCATATCCTACACTGCAGATACATCGTCCAAGAGGCACAAGCCAATCCCCATCTGCTCCACAATACAATTTTGGAGTATCACGTTCCTCAGCGCTCTTCACGCAGGAGCCCCTTACTTCCACCAAAGAGGAAGAATCAACCCTTGGAATAGTATCAGGAAACATAGCCAAATTACGGACCGTGAAAGGGCACTTTTTGTAATAAACACGGACTGAAACCAAAGCAATGCATGCTCCAATGTCCTGAAAAGCAAGAAAAAATCCTTTCTTGTTTATTGGCCCAACCTCACGAACTTCTGTGTTGAGTTTAAGAATGCGGTCACCCAAGTCCATCTGGGTAAAACTCTCATCAGCTGCAATAGTATCAATTTTAGTGTACTGGTTTGGCTTGAATTTTACTCCATGAGACTCATCTGACTCCATGTAGTAGAGATTGAAAGTTTCCTTGCAGGTTCCCAGTACCCATGGAATACTGTTGCAGTCCCTCAGGGTAAACTTCATTTCCACATAAATTTTCTGTGCAGCATCACGGGAGATCCAGTTTGTTCGAAGCCAGTTGTTTTGGTTTGGTTCCATCACATTACATACCTGGTAAGTATGAATGGGACGATTGTGTTCATCCATTTCAGTTATGGCATCCCACTGGAAAGAAAATAAAATTGTTTGACGACTAAGAAAAATATATTTCACGTATGCATATACAGAGAGGCCACGTATACACATGTGTATGTGCACTTATGACTTAACTAAGAATAATTATTTACTTAAAGTTTAGCAGAAAGACAGTAGTTAGAAGCAGATGCCAACTACAAAAAGAGTACAAGACTTCAAAAACTTTACAATAAATTTCTATTAATTAAAAAAAAAGTTAAAAAATAATGTAGCTCAGTAAAAGAGGGAAATAATTAAATTTGCTTTAAATAAATAATTAATTTGTTTTAAATAAACATGACTAAGTCCAAGAACATTCCTGGGCATGTCATTCAATCATCTATGCTGAAAAAATTGCTAGAACAGTCCGGTTTGGCATGCCAGTGGGCTGGCCCTCTGGCAGTCCTCCAAGCAACTCCCACAGCTCAGGCACAAGGCACTGGCCAGGCACCCGCAGCAGTCATCAGCTGGGATGCAGCCATGCTGGTTTGGTGGGTCCGAGGTGTTTGGTGTAGGTTGTCATGGTTCATACAGTCACCGTAGAAACATTTACCTGTATATTTAGAAATGTTACATTTCTGGCTCCACAGGTCTGTATTAAGCTTATTTCCTCTTTTAAAGGAAATAAAAATAAAATGTCACCGCCATCATGCCATTTTTGTTTCCTTTATAAATTTTCTTCCTTACAGTTCAGAGGTAAAGGAGGAATTTTTTTTCCTCTCCACTTCCCTAGTTTTATGCTACATCAACTGCACTAAAATTCTCAAATTCTGATGGAAAAACCCCACATAGAAACTGTCAAAAACATAAGTATTGGAAAATTATCCACATGCTACATATGAAAGGCTTATCAAATGCCTGATTTTTTACATAATCTGCTATTCTAAAGGATTACCAACATCTCCAAAATAGCTTCAATAAAATTGAGTCAGCTTTCCACTAAACACTCCTAACAGCAATGTAGCATTAGATTTGGATGTATTCTTGTGAAAACACAGAACTAGTTATGGTTCTGTACCCAAAACTATTGTGTCCCATCAGAAGTCTTAGTGCAGCCTTTTAAGATGTGTTTTTGTCTTATGGCATTCTAGATGTAAACCGGCATATCAAATAAGCTAAAAACGTGTTCATAAGGATCACTCAAAATGCCAGACTAATTGTTTTAATGCTATGAAACATCCAAATACTAAACTATGAACATGAATAATGTATACATGGAATACATTTGTTATGAACACATTTAATTAAAATTATTTGCCTGCAAAGGAGATACATAGGCTTCAAGTTGAGAAAGCAATCAACTTTCTCAAACTTTGCAGTTATTTTGGTAAATTCACTGTATGGCATTTTAAAATTTTATATTAATTACATACAGGTGCACATGCATAACATGCCACAACCCCACCGAACACACAACATGGAAGAAAAAAGTTCACTTATTTAGGAGTAAACTGATCCATCATGGTGGAAGAAGCAAAAAACAACCGACCTGTGGCTCAATGAGCCTGAAAACTTTGGGGTTTAAATGGTGGCTGGAATTCATGGGGAAAAAAGGAATGGCAAGTGCGATCAGAGAATTGGGATTCCTGGTGAGTGCAGCGTGCACCCGAGCGCTATGCAGAAAAACAGGGTAAATCAAGGCCTCTACAGGCCATCACTTTTGGGAATTCTTCCTATCACAGCAAGGAGTGATAACCCAGCCTGAAGGCTCCATCTTAAGAATCACAAAACATACTACTTATGTGATAGCCAGACAAGGACAAATAGTTGGCCAACCACCTGCTGACACAAGAGATTCTTATACAGCCAGGGGCTTTTGGTTATGCATTCAGAAAGGGCAAAGCTGCTACCTCAGCATTCATGGCAAGCCTAGAACAAATTCAGATTTGGTCAAAATTGTGTGATAGAGTACTAGTTACCACAAGGCTTCTCCTGCCATTGCTCCCAAAGTGATTTGGCCTATGATTCAAGTCTACCCTGTAGCAAGCAATGCAATACCCCAAGTAGGTCTTCGCTTTGAGAAAGGAAAAGGTGACTTTCATGGTGCTAAAATCCATAGCTCCAAGCCTCAAAACCTCATTAGAAGAGGTTCTGTAAAAAACAAAGCAGCTAAGTCTCTCAGCCACTGATTCCTATTTTGCCTGCCATATCTCTTACATGAGCCAAGGACATACCACCTTTTTCTTCACATATAAAACACATAATATAATTTTAAGCATTATTACACAAGTTTGTGTTATACAGAAATATAACCACAATGTAGCTAAAGAAAAAAAACCCACCACAAAACCAAACAAACAAAAAAAAAAAAATCAAACAGAAGCGCAAAAACGTTGTCTGCATTTATTTGCGTACCAAACTACATTAAAAGGAAGATGTGCTACGTGCTCTAGAGAGGTCTCAAAAAAACAACAAAAAAAAAAAATCATCGACCCCAAAGCAAAAAACCCCAAGCAAAAAAAAAACAAACAAAAACCAAACACACCAACCACCACAAAAAACAAACCAAAAAAACCAACCAAACAAGAAAATCCCCACCACACCAAACCTAGAATAAAAGAGTAGTAATTGGGATGACAATGTAGTTTTAAAAATGGAGAGTATTCTTCAGAACTGGAGTAAACTAGCTTAGAGCAAAAAAAGCCTTAACATACTACTGCCTCTTAAAAATATTAAGGAAATAAAAAAGTCCAACATATCCTCCCCCTACTGTGAGAATTTCTTCAGAAATATTTATATAGTCACTTTGAATCAATACCATGATTTGAACTTAGAAATTAAAGCCCTGAAGTTCACTGCTAACCGTGTCGTTAATAATAGAAATCTATTACTTCTGTAGGAAAGTAGATGCTCAGCACTTCAATAACTGGTTTAGAAGAATAAAATAAGATGGATTGATCAAATATAGACAGTGCTTTAGTTCATTCAAAGCAGACCTTGCAAGCTTCATGCCTGTCCTCTTCCATTGTGCTCCCAGATAGCCTGCTGACAACTCTCAAGTTATAAGAACTCATGCATTGGGCAACAACAGTTACAAGGCATTTGCAAAAATATTTAACAAAAGTAGCAGTCTAATCATCATACAAATAAAATATTTTCCAAAAACTTTAACATCTAATGTTTCAATCTAGCCACTGTACTGAGGCATACTATATAAGGTACGCATATAAATACAACCATGAGTTTTCTGGCATGTGCTCTTAATTACTAGTCCCAGATATTGAGTGCAAATGAGGTGAATTCCACCATCTCAAAATGTCAATGTAATTTGCTGAGAAGTCCAACAGAACTCAATCTGTGATAGTCTCCGACAAGGACACATTCTTCTTGGGAGAAATACAATCTGCTTTTAATTTCACATAAATGTTGCATTTTTCTTCTGATAAAAACAGCCAGAAAATGGTAAAACAACAGTTAAATTCAATGCAGACAACAAAAAACCCAAAGAATTTATCAAATACACACTAGTTTTCTTTTAGGTGTATTTCATATTACAGGTCCCAATTAATCAAATGACGAGTATTTATAAACATTTTAGTTGTGCAGAACTATTCTTTGCTTAAATCTTAAAAGCGAACAAACAGAAGTATCTTATTAGTGACGTTAGCAAGAGAACGTGGTAGGTCCCCCCAGAATACCTAACCTGACATGCACCAAAGCTGGCAGAAGCTGTCTGGTCTGGACAAGCTGACAGTTCAGACTTCCTTCAAACTGAGCTGCTTGGCATCCCACCACAGTGCATTACTTTTGAAATTTTTGATTACATTTGTTTCAAAATGAGGTAAGCCTCTGATAATATTGATAGAAGCAGCAGCAGCATAAAGCTAATTCTCACAACTGGAGTTCCAGGATTTATGAAGAACTGTCAAAAACAGTTTGGAGGAAAGACTTCAAAATTCTATTTTAACACTGTAATCAAGAGCAGTGTGGATAAGAGGTTACATTTTACTTTCACGTTTGGCATAAAGGAGGAGCGTCACTGAAGTAGAAGAACATGGAATTTGAAGATGGAGGGAGAGAAGATTAAGATTACTTGTCACATTCAAGCTACAAACCACACTGAAATTTTAGATAAAATCTCAGTTGTTTTCATATCTCTACAAGCTACTTTACAGCCTGTTTCATTTTAGAAATTCACTAATATTTAACAGCTGTACAGAGAACACTATAAAGAGCAAATTACCTAATTTCAATCTTGTACTAGCTATATATACTACTGAAATCTGTTTTCAGTGTTCCCCACTTTTTTGTTATTCTTATTTTAAACCAAATGCTACAGACTTACAAAATCAGCAAGAGCTATTTATTACAATTCAGTGGGTTGTATCACCAAATGCTATATGAACATTACAAAAAAGAGAGACTGTATTGGAGATATTTTATGTTATTTTTAAACACACTGCTGTCTGATAAGAAAATGTCTTAGTGATACCATTCTACAGAAAAGTAAACACAGTGGACCAGTTTCAGCCTGATGGAAGAAGTCAGTTTCCCTGAAGACATCAGAGTTATTTCAACAAGTTCTAAAACTTGACTATTATCTTTAAGCCACGGTCGGCCTGTTAAGCAAGGCCTTACTGAGGTCAGATTGGGCTGCTTAAAGAAAAAGAGATGTTAAACTGACGATTGGCATGATTTGCCCAGTACTAGCCATGCACAACATTGGATTTATGGGGGGAACGCAGAACAGAAAGGACAGAGACCTCACCCTGTTGTCACCTCCCAGCCCCCTGCGGCGGCACCATAAAGTTGCCTACTCCCATGTCAACCCTATGGCTCCTCTGACTTCCAGCAGCAGAGAGCAGTCATGGCACTGCACCAGCACATCTTTCCCCCACAAAGATCTGCACCGCAGGCTCTTCACCATGTCGGCAATCTCCGTTGTGCCATTTGCTTAGAGACAAGGCAAGCAGATTCTCACTGTTTAGCAGCAGCCCTACTTGTGCCTGAAAGATTCATTACAATATTTTATTTGTATGTCAAACTTTGCTGTAAGAAGCTTTTCCAATTAGTAGGGGTAATTATATCAAGCAGTTGAAAATGCCTATTATATAATGTGCTTCTATCTAGATAACCCTCATAATGAGGGTGGTGAAACACTGGAACAGGTTGCCCAGGGAGGTGGTAGATGCCCCATCCCCGGAAACGTTCAAGGTTAGGTTGGACAGGTCTCTAAGCAACCTGATCCAGTTGAAGATGTCCCTTCTTGTTGCAGGGGGGTTGGACTAGATGACCTTTAAAGGTCTCTTCCAACCCAAACTACTCTATGATCCTATGATAACTTCCCATGTAGTGAAAGACTTTTCCCACAACTTGTCACACTGATTGATGAACTAATAGTGGGTTCTTAATCTCAGATAACAGTTATTCAGGCACTGATCCCAGCAGCAGTTTGGTAATCTAGGATAGCAGTTTTAGCATCTTGCACAGCTCAAGATTCTTTTTATTGACATTTTATTTCATTTAAAGGAAAACATAGGGACAATGGTTATTTAGGCCCATACCCTTACTCAGCAGTTTAAGGGATGGAAAAGACCATCTGCCCTTACAAATTTTGCTGCATTTATATCCTAAGCTAGACAGTTCCCTCCCCTTCTTCCTCATCCTTTTAATTAAAGGATAATTCTCTAAAAATGAAAGGTTCTGCA